GTGGGCCAGGTGCAGACAATGAAAGGAGTTAAATGCTTAGAGAGCCACAGTGAAAAGTCTGTTAAAAGGATTATTGAGTAGATGGGATGGTCTGGGCCAGTGATCCGGGCTGTGTGTAAACGTTCAGGGACTGGGCTGCTTTCAAAGACGTGGTCTTTTCCTTTTAGGAGTACAGGTCCCATCACCCCATCACCAACACAATATGATGCTTGGGACACTACAGTGGTAGCACTGTCATGTAAACATTCCAAACTGGCTCTTGTGCTACCTTCCTTAAACCTTCAGAAAGGTCATCTTACACAATGAGGAAGTGTCACTCTACTCAAGCCAAGGAGTCTTTTGAGAGCCTCAAGCACATACATGAGACATTTTTTCAAAAAACTGCATCTGTCTGTCAATAAACATTTCTTAAGTACCTACTATGTGTGAGACTTTGTGCTAAGCACTAGGGATACAAAGGAAGGTAAAAGACAATTCCTAGTCTCAAGGACTTCATAACTAGTAGGAGAGACAACATATAAATAATTATACATACAAACTATATCCCAAATAAATGAGAAATAATCAATAGAGGGAAGTCATTAGAATTAAGGCGGATAGAGAAAGGCTTCCTGTAGAAGTCAGAGTTTTGAACTGACACTTGAAGGAAGTCAGGAAAGCCAGGAGGTAGAGATGAGAGTGAGCATCCCAGGCATGTAGACAGCCAGAGAAAATTCCTGGAGCCAGAAAATTGAATGTCTCATTTGAGGAACAGCAGGGAGGCCAGCATTATTGGATTGCAAAACGTGTGTGTGTGTGTGTGTGTGTGTGTGTGTGTGTGTGTGTGTGTGTGTGTGACTTCCCAAAAGAATCAATATGGGAAGACAAGATCCACAGAGTTTCTGGGCAGAACAGAAGCAATTGCTATTTACACTCACTCTGAACCATCAAAACCCAAACAATGAGCAAGTGAGACTCATACTGGGACCTATTCTTGGTCAATCAATGAGAACCAGAGTGATTTGGGTTCAAAGGCATGATCAAACAGTTCTATTTGAATCCCAGTGGGCTTTATCAAAGACTGGTTTACCAGAGCTGTATTTCAAGACATCATGAATGAAAATTGTATGAGACAAAAGAGTTAATTGTCCCAGTTAAAAAAAAAGATGGAATAAATAAATAAATAGAGAAGAAAAAAAAAGTCAAGCGCCCAAGCCTGAAGATATCTTATGAATTATAAGCAGTCACAGGGCCTTGTAAGCCTTCTAGGTCATAAAGACTCCAAAGACCATCTTCTCTAATTGTCTGAAGTCTTAGAAGCAGCAAAAAAGTGGCTCCATATGGGTTAGTGAAGACATAAAGAGAGAAAGAAGAAGCAAAGGAAGGAAACCAAGAGTAGTTACTCAGAAAGTTGTTAGGTTATTGTTGTTTGTCCTTCATTCTTGAAGAGGACCATGATATTGGGAAGGTGATGCTATGACTTACAAGTGAAATGGATTTAAGTGAAGGAGGGCTGTGCAAATTCATGAGCCTCACTCTCTCCTCCTAAGCCATCTGGCTCCAGCGGCAAAATATAAGTCAGGAGGACTGGAGATGGCTCCTGATGCAGTGGAGGACCTTGGACATTTTAAATTAAGGGCTTTTCCAGGTCTCAGTTTGACTGAGGCAATGACCATTCAGTGATTAGGGTTAAGTAAACAATGAAGCAAAGAATGGCCTCTTTTATCTAGTTAAAAAAAAAATCAGTCTGGGAGGGGAAGACACCCAGGGTTTCTGGCCAAAACAGAAACAATTAGTATCACACTCTGATCCAGCCAAACAATGACCAAGTGAAGTTTAGGCTGGGAGTTATTGTTGGCTAATCTATGAGAGCCCAGTGATTTTGGGTTTAAAGACTTGGTCTTGAATGGGATGTTCCAGTGAAGACTTCTCAGTGTAATTAAGGTAATGAGTTCAGAAGGTAGGATAGGGTTAAGAATAGATTTCTGTGAGTTATTTTTTTTTAGTGACATATATCAGTAGTTAAAATTTGTCTAGTGGTTAAGTCTTAACTTACTTTTTAATCTTACTCAAATGCATCTTTGCCCCTAAAGGAATCTGGCTCCAGAAAACCCTTAGAAGTTTCCTTACCTACTTCCCTTATCTCCCTTTGACAGGATCTTACTCAGATGTCTTCCAGTTCCCAGCATTGTCTGTTCAGTCCCTAAGACCTTCCAAAACAATTGTAGATTATCTTCCTAACGGCACATTTTTTATTGCTTCTTTGACATTATCTCAACAAACTAAGAAATATAGAGATGTATACTGTGTCCTTTGTCCTAAATTAGACTCTGGTGTGTGAGACTGTGAGCCCACAGTTGGGGGAGGGAAGGGGGAATTGAGTCTTCAAGGTTATATGAGCTGATTTCTACCTCTGCGGGCTGTCTCCCATCATCAGAGCTTAGTGACGGAGGGATACCCAAATCTCGAGATTTGAAATAATAATAATTATAGCTATAATAAATTAACTCTCTGTCTCTCCTTGGACACCTCTGTGTTTCGTTTTATTTTTAATTTGAGTGGCATCCCACACAGTTTTTAAGAAAGAAATCACTGGGGATATTAACAGCACCTACTTCACAGAGTTGTTATGATAAGATGAGGTTGACGGGGTGCTTGGGTGCTTGTGTTTGGGTGCTTGTAGTTGGACCCCAATTTCTCCCTAGCCTCAGAAACACTGTGCCTGACAGTTTCTCTCCAGCCCAAGGACCCTGTGCTTAGCAATTACTCATGAGTGGCCCCAGCAAGACCCTTATCTCTCTCCCTGGTGCAGTTCCAAACAGCACCTCGAGGATTTATTGTTTTAAACTGGCTTTGCATTGGGTCATCAAGACATTCTTACCCACTACTGTACTATCCTACTGCCCTACCATATTATCTACATCCTGGGCTCCTCATTAACTGTATTCTAGACTTAAAACATATGTGTACTCCCTAAATCTATTTTGTCTAACCAGACATTGATTGGTGGCAGACTGGACAACTAACTCTCAGTTACCCTGAACTCTAGTTGACTTAGTGATGTAGCAGGCCTAAAACCACACCTCCATGTAGCCCCCCTTGTGGGCTTTTCCTAGTGAACTTTGGGTAAAAGGCCTGCACAGTAGTTACAAGAAATGCATGTTCTTTTAAGAACTGACTGCTCCTTAACCACTCCCTAATCCCACCCTAAATCCCCTAGTTAGCGTATTTGGCACATGTTTTATTGTATTTTATCCTATATAAACTCTAACTCTACCTCTCTAAGGTTGCAGGATCCTTTAAGAATCCTTGCCCTCTGAAAAGCGTAACAATAAACTGCCACCTTGGCTTAAAGAATGCTTGAGTCTGTGAATTCATTCCAGATGACCCATGTACTTCAAGTCTTTGAGGGGTCACAACCTCTCAACATCTCACACCAAAACAAGGTGACATTTGTAGGATACTTAGCACAAGGCTTGGCACATAGTAGGGACTAATAGACACATAATAGATGTCCTTTCCCTTCCCCTGCCCCAGATACTTTAAACAATATATGCAAAACTGAACTCATTATCTTTTCTTCTAAACCCTCCCCTCTTCCAACCTACCCTATTACTATAGAGAATGCCAGCATCCTCCCGTGTCCCAGTCTGGGATCCTAAGTGTCATTCTTTTCTCTCTTGGCACTGCCTACTCCATGGACATGAGGTATATGTTGTTTGGAGGTCAAGTCTAGAGTATAATCACTCCTATGCACTACACTGTTGATACAGATTGGTGACAGAAGCATGAATCCTGAGGCTTGCAGTTTCCTTGAGGTAGGCAGAGAGAAGAGGAGTCCTCTCTTCTCCTTTGGGAAACTTTCCTAGGGAAGGAACATGACTATCATGGAGCACTGGGGGATGGAGGAATGGTAAGGTTGTGGACCAGCTGGCACTAGAAGAGAAAGAGGACAGAAGGTGGGAAGCAACACCTTTCCCCTCCCTGGGAAGGATGTAGGAATGAGGAGTGCTGTCCTGGTAGTTGGGTGCTAGTTCCAGCTTTAGACAGAAGGAAGGAGAGAGTGAGCAAGAAGAAGAAAAGAAAGAGGGTATAGGGAGAGAAAGAAAAATGATGGAGAGAGGGAGCAGAAATGATGGGGTAATGGGACCTGGACACCTAAAAGGAAAAGATTATGTCTTTGAAAGCAACCCAATACCTGAATTTTCCCATACATTTCAGCAGCCAGATCCCTGGCACCTCTGCCCAAGGCAACTGGCCCACCCCAGGCCACCTACTTGATATCTCTTTCAGTGTTGCACCTGATCCATTCCAGACTGTTTACGTTCCTTAATTCCATCCAGATTCCTTTCATTGTCCTTTTTTTGTATATAAGCATCAGTCTCACCCCCATTAAGTTGCAGGTTCACTAGGAACCTTGACTGCTACTATTGGTATTGCAATAAACCTTGCTACTTGATTAGAAGATGGTTTGAGTAGCGAATTCATTCCAGGTAGATGCTGCCCTGTATCCTGACATCTCAGGGTTCCCAGAAACCCCAAAACACATCAGAGATGGAGAAAAAAGGGGATTGTGATCACAGCCCACAGATTCTTCCTTAGGTGCATCAAAGTCAAGTCCTAAGCTTCCTGGCCTACCTTATTCCTTGGGCTATCCCTTTTCCTTGGCTTCATCTTTGTTAGCCTCCCCCTTGTGATCATTCCCCTCATTCCCTCCCAAACTGAGCATTAGTGACCCTCCAGATTAAGTCCTGTATTATCCTTAACCTCTTCCCCAGGGCAGATAGGCCATTTTCTATAAGTCAGCCAGTCTACTAGACAATCCCCAATTACCTAATCACTATTTTTGGGAGGATAGGCTGAATACAGGTTAAAAGTATCTTTGGACTGTGAATGACTTAGCTATTCTCAACAATACAGTGATCCAAGACAAGCCCAAAGGACTAATGATGAAGCATGCTATCTGCCTCCAGAGAAAGAACTGATATTGATTGAATACAGACTGAAGCATGCAATTTTTCTTTCATTTTTTTCTTTTATTTTAGTCTTGTACAAAATGACAAATGTAGAAATATTTTACATAATTGCACGTGTAACTTATATTTGATTGCTTACAGTCTCAGGGCAGAAGAAGTAGGGGAGTGAGGGAGAGATAGAATTTGGAACTCAGGACTTTAAATAAAAAATTTTTTAAAAACGTAATAAAAACATCCTTAGTACAGGCAGCAGAAAGATGATGCTCTCAATATTAGCAAAATTCATTGAAAGCATCAGTATCATAAGAAGGAAGAAAAAATATGAAGATATAAATTTCCTAATTGTTATTCCTAGAGAATGTGATGAAGATCAACACGAGGCTCCAGGCAAGCCAGTTCATCAAATCCTCATTGAGAATAAACCCTGTGGAGCAGACCAAGACTTGTTACCTCTTAGATACTGGTCCCAGGTAGACTATAGATTCACTTTCCCATGCTCTCCTCTAGGGAGGCTGAAACCACTTGTCTCTTCTCTTATCCCCAGTTACAGCCAATAGCTGACTTTCTCCACCCCTCTGGATTACCTGACACACTAAATTATATACAACCTGTTGCATCCTCAGGAACCTTTCCATCTCCTCACTCTTAAATTTCTCAAGAAATCTCTGGGCCACTACACATGTGAAGAAGAGCAACCCACATGCTGCTGTGGGAACCTAGGGTGAGTCACACTTGTCTTTGAAAGGGAAAAAGGGATACTTGAGGTCAGGACATCCAGACATTGGAGTAAGAACAGAATGAGGACAGGGTGTTAACACCCAATGAATATTTTATGGGGGCTGCCCTTTAATATCCTCCAATTACCCTCCCCCCATCTCTGCTCCAGCTCAACATTACCTTGGCAACTGTGCCGGGTCCACAAATAACAAATACAAGCACCCACTTCCAATGAAGAAGTCACTGTCAGGATCCCGTTCAGATACCACCAAAATTTCCTTTTCTGAAGATGTTCTGAAAGAGGATAGAAGGGTCAAAGACATAACCACTTAGACTCTACCCTACCCTCTGGACTATAAATTCTGACTGAAGGGCTCAGGAGCTCCCAAAAGACTGGGAGTAGGAGTTTTCTCCAATTAAGATGACCACTGGCCCAACTCTCCAGCTGAAGAGAGAAAGTACTGAAGTGGAGAGATGTGAATCTGTTGTGATCCCATGGTTCCCAAACACAACTCATTACCACTTATTTTCACCCATGTTTTCTTATACAGAGGACATTCCAGAAGAGGATAGAGATCACCAGCCTCAGGAATAGAAGTGTTAGTGGGAGGATCCAGGGACTCAGGAACAATTCCTTAGCCCAGCCACAGACCCCTGAGGAAAGAGGAGCTCTAAGACTGAGATATGTCTTGTACTCTTTTAACTTTTCTGTCTCTATTAGCTTATAAGCAAAGCACCCCAGAAAACCCCAAATGATGTTTATTATAAGGGTTACTGGTGCTGTTGTTGGGTTAATGGGTTAGGGGAAGGGTGGAAGCACGCAGTGCTCATATCCCTTTATCTTCCCTGCTCAAACTGGCCCATAGGGCTCAAAACAAATTCCTTGCCCTGACTTTTCATCATACTTACCTCTCTCAATGAGTAAGAGAGATGTAGAGAATAAATATGATATTGTCCACAAGCCAATGATATTCCTCATCATATTTCCCAACTGGGGATTCATTGCAATAGTCTCTTTCTCACCTGAAACACATCATGCCAACTTGGGAGAATCTGGCCTGCATACTCTGTGTCCTGGCTCAGGAAAAGGCATTCCGTTTTGGTTTTTGGGAGTCCTCTTCCCTTCCTCAAGTAGAAGAAAGTCAGTTATAGAAACATCCTTCACAAGGAAAGGAGCATCCTTGTCCCTGATCAGGGAGGAGGATGGAGATCTGGCTGGGCATAGGGAGAACAGGGGCCATAGCCATACACTCCAGGCTCTCCAACCACTAGCCCCATCCCTGGCTCTCTCTAGCCCATTACCTCTTACATTCCCTGTACCCATTCTTCACCCACAGATACCTCCCCTCAAACCCCAGAAACTGTCTGCCAACCTCAGATAAAATGTATCTATTGAGAATAAAGTTAGATTATACAGAGGGGTCTACAAGGAATGTACTAATGTGATAGGCATGAAGAGGTGTTGCTTTGTATATTTTGAGGATTCAGTCAATCAGTTAGTCAATAAGCATTTTTTCAATGCCTATGATGTGCTAGGCATTGTGTTAAGTGCAGGGATACAAAAAAAGGCAAAAGACAATCTCTGCTCTCAAGGAGCTCCCAAGTCGATGGGGAGACAAACAGTAATGTGCAAATGTGCTATATTGAAGATAAACAGGAAATAGTCTTTCCTTCCTTCCTTCATCCCTCAATTCTTTTCTCCCACCCTTGCTCCCTCCCTCTCCCTTATTCCCTTCCCCCTCCTTTCTCTTTTACTTCCTCCCCTTCCATTCCTCTCCTTCCTTTCCTCCCCTTCCTTCTTTCTTCCCTCTGTCCTTCCTCCTCTCCTTCCTTCTTTTCTTCCTTTCATTCAGTTGTTTCTTCCTTCCCTAGTGATTAGCCCAGTGCTTGACACATAGGGGACACTTAATAAATGTTTATTGAATTGAATTGTTCTCACTTGGTTTTCAGCAATAATTCTATATATGTGCTGTTATTAACCCCATTTTACATATGAGCAAACTGAGGCTGAGAAGTTAAGGGACTGGCCCAGGGTCAGACAGCTAGTAAGTGTCTGAGGCAGAAAGTGAACTCTCTGACTCCAACTCTGAGTGTCCATTGCACCACCCAGCTCCTATTTAGTCACACGGTTCTCACTTCCTTAACTGTGTTCTATGGCACTTCACGTAGAGGAGTTCAAAGGGATAATGTTGCTACCAGGGACACTTTTCCTATTAATTTGTTAGCCATTAACATAATGTACATGTCAAATAAATGCAGTAGTTTCTCACATGAGAATAATATCATCCACTTTCCACATCAAAATAACATTAAGGTAGCCTATTTTGTTGCCAAATTTAGTCTTGATCTCCCACTGTGCTTCTGTAATCCCATGGCACATTCCTGAATAGGATTATGGGTTCTGTCAATGTATTCGAAAGCCCAAAACATTCCTTAGTCAAATTAGTTTGGGAACTTCTAGACTTTGGCACCTCCTCTGAGTGGTGGTGGTGGTGGTGGTGTGTGTGTGTTGTGTGTATGTATGTGCTGGCTCACTAGAAGCTGGGCAAAATGGTGCTTCTTTTACACCCCTCCCTTGCTACTTTCTTCTTTCTTCCTTGGTTTCCCCTCTTTCTGTCTCCCCCTCCCAATCTGCCCACATCCTTTCTTTTTCCCTTTGTGTTGAAACCTGAAAAATTGGCATTGGAACCTAACACAATAGTGAGAAAGAAATGAGATTAGAATCTCTCCTCTGCATAAGTAAGAGGTGTCAGGTGGAGAAGAGGAATAAGACAAACCAGCATCTTACTAGAACATACCTTTTTGGTGTGTTCTCCCAGACCTACTTAGGACTAATTTTCTTGATTTCAGACCAGAGATACAAACTCCTTTTCCACACTGGTCTAGCCCCCTGGATTTGGTTACCCTTGGCACTGTGGTGCAACATGCTGTTCATACTCTCTCAGAGGGGAAAAACAGCTTTTTTTTTTTCTCTTCAGATGGGCCTAATCAGGAGTGACCACAGGATACTAGGAGACAGGATTCAAAGTCTTGTCTCACCAGAACAAATCTATTCCCTCATTCTTATGTAATGTATAAAAAGTATGAGAGACACAATATCTGGGTAATTAATCATTTTATTAATTATGTCTAGCAAATAACTAACAAAATGAAGGTCATTTGGCCATCTCTCATAAGCCAAATATGGATCATAGACCCTATTGATGCTAATATGGCTTTGAAAGAGTGAGTATTCTGCACAGATGGCAATCAACTCTGATTAGTTAACAATTATTGAGGAGAATGAATATTATAATAAGAAGTGGACCTATTCTAATGACAGGCTAGGGGAAATGTGACTTTCATTATATCACTCTTACTCCCACGCCATCTCCAGCCCCGTCCTAGACAGAAGATCTATCCTCTCCCACCTAAGCCTAATTAGAACACAATGGGCTTCCCCTGTTTGGTGGGGTCTGAACAAGACTGAGGAGATTGTCAAATCTATTCTCATCATTGGCCCTATTTTTCAGGGGCTGATTTGACCTAGTAGAGAATGAGGAAATAGGAAGGGAAAAACCCTGGATCCCCACCATAGTAATTGGTTATTAATGTCAGAGAGCAATAATAATTTCTCTCACTTGGTTCATGCATTGCCAAAATCACACACAACCTTGTAAGCCTTCTAGAGCATAAGGACTCCAGAGATTGTCTTCTCCAATTGTCTGAAGCCTTAGAAGCAGCAAAAAAAAAAAAAAAGGCTCCATGTGGGCTAGTAAAGACATGGAGAGAGAAAGAAGAGGCAAAGGAAGGAAACCAAGAGTAGTTACTGGGAAAATTGTTAGGTAGTAAGAAATTGAACAACTTGAAAGATTATGGGAAGGAAAAAGAACAGAATGTCTCAGCTTTCAGTGATTCTCCTACTCCCTTCTTAATTAAGCCCTAGAAAACAAACAAACAAAAAAGTAGTGACATATCTGATCTCTCTCTGGGTAGGAGGGCAGTGTTGGGGATCTCATGGGGAAGTAGTTTGAAACTTCTCTGAGAATTTTGGGATTTGGAGTTTTGCTTATTTTCCTGCCCAGGGAAATATTGGAAGCTAACAGATGAGAATGATGCAACCCCAGAGATGGCTTGAATAAATCTTTTAGGAATTTCAAGAAGGAGATTGAGGCCAACACTGATTGTGGCAGATGCGGTGGAGATGGTGTTGAGCATGGCACCAGGGCAGCCAAGGTCTTCATCTACCCAAGGGAGATGGGATGGTAGCACCAAAGTGGAAGATAAGTCTGATCATTAATGAATGTCCTCCTCATCCCCAGCCATGAATCCAGGTGAATGAAGAGGTATCTTTTTTCTCCTCTCACTGTGTCTTCCCTCTTTCATTCCATCCTTTTGAGAAGAGACTTAAATCCAAAATTTCCTGTTCCATTTAAGCTGTTTTTCAATGTTTAAAAGCAGTTTGTTAAGCTTGGTTTCTCTAGATCAGGTCTGCACAATACATAGCCCTCAGGCCACTTGCAGCCCACCAAAGGATTTTGGGCAGCCTGCCACTGCCCACTCTCTCCTGTTTCTCACATGACCTGTGGCAAGCAACCATCATCAGTCTGTCTCTAGTGAACTATACTTAGAAAGTGAGCCCCTAAAACCCTAACTTCAGCCTGAAGAAGTTTAGCCTATTTTAATTTTGGCCCCTACCTACTGCCAAGTTGTGCAAGTCTACTCTAGACAAGAGAAATCAATTTCCATTGTGCCCTTGGGTTTTGTACACTCTGAAGTTGCCCCATGGGGCAGGGGTTTCAAGCTGCCCTGATAGTCAGATTGACACTTTAGGATTGGAACTGTGGGGCTGGAGCTTTACTCCAAGGCTCTTTCTTCTGGTGAGAGGGCCAGGGAAGGAAGAGCTGGGAACATGACCAGTGCTCCCCTGAATCTGAGGCACATGGAGATCAAGACTAGAGTAGCTGGCTCTGGGAACTATCGAAAATCCCATTAGGTGCTGAAATGAAAGGAGAGAGAACTCTTTCCCACTGTGCTTTCCTAAGGTCCCAGACATGCAACCTCAGTCTTTAATCTTATTCACTACCTGTGAGTGTGAGAGTGGAATGGGGGGTTGAGACCTCCCTGTAGTACTTAATGCTTTTCTTTTCATTTTTGCTATGTGTAGTTAACTATTATGACCACAGTACACTGAGTAACTCTATCCTTTGAATATGAGAAGCAGATTTAATTGACTGGCAGAAGAGATTTTAAGAACAGGTAGGGCCTCTAGAGTTATCATGTCCAACTTTGGATATTTTGATCCTGTGTATTCACTGGTGGCCCTTCCACCAGATCTCCAGCCTGGTCTCCTGCCTTGGGGAAGGGGAATAACATTATTCCTTTACCTCCAAGCACCCTTTTCCTAACCTCTTTTAGAGGACTCCACTCTAAGGGACTCCAAACCTGTAGATGAACAGAGGCACCTAAGTGGTACAGTCGATAGAGCACTGAACCAGAAGTTTTCCAAAAAAGATACAGGCCTTTCTGAGTTCCAGTCTAACTTTAGATTTACTAGCTATGTGAAGCTGGGCAAGTCACTTAACCTTTATCTCAGTTCCCTTAACTGTAAAATGGGGATAACGATAGCATTTATTCCTAGGGTTGTTGTGAGGACCCAATGAGAAATCTACAAAGTGCTTAGCAGTGTCTGGCCCACAGTAAATGATTAATAAATGTTTGTTTCCTTCTTTCCTATGGAAAAATGAAAATCTACCTAAACTCATTCCCCAATAATTAACAAACTCTGCTCTGCTCATAACCCTTCCTCATCTCAATAATTCTAAACCCTTGGTCATCATTAAAGCCCTATTCTCTGTCCCCCATGGTCTGATCTCTTATTCCCATTCCCCTCAGCTCCACCCAGTGTCCCATTCTGCAGTTACCCACTCTTTCAGCTGTCTGATATGTCTGCTCCAGAGACAGTAAACTTACTTTTATCTTCAAACATTTTCTTTCTCACTCATTCCATCTTTTGGGTCTCAGTGAGACCTGGCTCTTGATAACAGAATCTCCATGGCCACCATTTGCAACACCGGCTGCACTTTGACTTATACTCCTTGCTCCTCATTTGTGTCTCCAGATTTTCTCTCTACTACTATCAATCAGTAATCTCTCATTCTTTGAGGTTCACTCAGTCCATATTTACCACCCAATCATTTCTGGTAGTTGCTGTCCATAGACCTCCAGGACACTGCCCTTTACTTCATGAGTGCAGTGCTTGAGTCACAGTCTCTCCTCAACTCCTGCTTTCACAGTAGGGAACTTCAACATATATGTTGATAGTTCCTCAGACACCCTTAACTCCTAGTTCCTCAACTTATTCATTCCCCATGTACTCCTCTATCCCATTTAAGCCACCCACAAATATCATCATACCCTTGATCTTGCCACTTCCACAGATATACCACTTCTGTGCTGATAAGCTTTGAAATTCCCTTATCTAATCATACTCTACTGTCACTTCATCTTTCCTTCTGCCTTGTGACCCCTAACCTTACTCTTCATTCACATCATGACCCCCAGTCTTTCAGTCACTCAGTTCTCTCCCAGGCAATCGCTCCACTAGCTACACTTTCCTCCTTTCCCCAGCTTGACCTCTTGGTGAATTGGTTTAAGTCTACATTGTCCTCTTCTCCTGAGTCCCTTATCTTCTCATCCTCTTATAACTCTTGCCCTTCCATACCTCGTCTTTGGATCACTCCCACTCTTTGCTTCCTTGACTGCTACACACTGCTGCTGAAAGAAGCTGGAGAAAATTATGAAACTGTGCTGACTAGGTTCTCTACAAATTTGTGTTATATAGCCTCAACTGGGGCTTAAGCAAGGCAATTCTTTTATAATTCCCATATCAATTCACTATCCCACTCTCCACAGTGGGTCTTCCAAACATTTTTTATACTTCTTAAAGCCTCCCATGGCTCCTCCTTCCCCCCACCCTCGTAGCTGAGAACCTTGACTCATATTTTACTGAAAAAAAATTGAGGTCATTGTTGGATAGCTCTCTTTTCACTCCTCCTCCTCATCTCACACCACTTAGATGCCTTCTGCTACCATCTCCACCCTTTTCCTTGCAAAGGCAAATTTCTCTCCATTCACATGTGATCCCATTCTAGTTCAGCAGATTGCTCCCTTCTATTATCCTAACTCTCTCATGCATCTTCAAACTCTCTGTCTACAGGCTCTTTCCTTATTGCTTACAAACACCCATCCTCAAAAACCCCTCAGTAGATCCATCCATCCAGGCTATCTCTTCTCTTCTTTGGTGGCTAACTATGTCAAGAAGGTGGAGGCCATTGCCAGTTGTCCTGACCTATGTCTGGCCACTGGACTCTGATGACTCTGGAGGAGAGAATGAGGCTGATGACTTTGCAGAGCCCTGCCTCACTGAGCTCCAATTCACTTGCAAGTCAAGACACCACCCTCCTGATGATGCTGGTCCTTTTCGAGAACAAAGGAAGAACAACACTCTGTGAGTAGTAATAGCTGCCACCCTGGGGACCCAATGGAGCAGTGCCATTTGGACAATGCTGCTATTTCCTCCCTTCTCCTCCTCCTCTTATTCCTCTTCCTCTTCTTCCTCTCCCCCATTTTCCTTCTCTTCTCCCTCTGTCATATCCTTACATGTGGTTATGATTGCTTATGTTTCAGAAAGTATCTTGGGGTTTGGGAGTTGGACATTTATTCTTCTTCTCTATTTATTTTACCTTTTTTCTTTTTATGAACTGGGACATTAACTCTTTTGTCTCATGTAGTTTCCATTCATGATTTTTTTTTTTGGTGAGGCAATTGGGGTTAAGTGACTTGCCCAGAGTCACACAGCTAGTAAGTGTTATGTGTCTGAGGCCAGATTTGAACTCAGTTCCTCCTGACTCCAGGGCCAGTGCTCTATCCACTGCACCACCTAGCTGCCTCTATTCATGATTTCTTGAAATATAGCTCTGATAAATCAGGCTTTGATAAAGCCCATTGGGATTCAGATAGAGCTACTTGACTACTTCTTTACAGCCAAGTCACTCTGGCTCTTAATTGTCTTGATTGTCTGCCTCAGTTCCCTCAACTGTAAAATGGGGGTAATGATAGCATTTACTTCCTAGGGTTGTTCTGAGAGCCATGTGTGACTGGAGTGGCAATTTGCTACTGAACTGATTATTCCCTAGTCCTAGTTAATCCCTTCCCCTCTAAGGCTCCTTCCATGGTCTCATTAGCCTTCCTTTCTTGCTCCGAACTTTCAGGAACTGGACTGCACCCCTCTCTCTCCATTATTTCAGTCCCTCATTCCCTGAGTCCCCTTGGTCCTGAAGTGCCTTCAACTCTCAAATTCCTTTAGCGCTGTTTTCCTGAGGCCTCTTGTCCATTCAGAAGCATAAAGTGTTACAGGTTCTATTGGGGACCTGGTCAGAGTTTGCATTTTGTATCCATTTAGAGGTATCTGATATTGTGTGGCCTTGGGTCTCACAAAGAGAAGAGTTAATCATTGGTCCTTTCTCTCCAATAATAATAATAATGATAAAGTTTTTGTACCACAATTGGAAAATTGCAAAACATTTTACAGACATCACTTCAAATAAATCTCATAAGAATTCTGAGAAGTAGGTACTACAGGTTTTATTATTCCCATTTCACAGATGAGGAAACTGAGTATCAAAGAGTTTAAGGAATTTTCCCATAGTCACTGAGTTAGTGTCACCAGTGGGATGTGAGCCCAGATCTGCTTGATTCCAACTCTCTATGCACAAGCTCATTTATGCTCCACTCACTAGTGTCTCTCCCTCCACCCCAAATTCACACACACACACACACACACACACACACACACACACACACACACTCCCCCATCCTCCAGCAGATCCCATGGATCTCCCTGGAAGACCTGTCCCAAGCCATCAGATTCACTGGTCCATTTCTAGAGGGGAGAGAGTGGGAAATCATAGTATTATGGAGTCACAAAGAGTGATGGGACGTTGGAGACAATCAAGTCCAACAGTCCCTCCCACTCCACCACTACATCCCACTCCACACTCACCCAGTCTACACATTTTACCCCAGAAAAAAACAACCAAAAGACAGGAGACATGGAAGGTCACACATGGTATTTGTGACATTGCCTACCTTGGCACCTAGGGGAGGTCTGCTAGAGTTGGGGTAGATTCTGTGTTCTGCGTAAAGTGAAAGTAAAAATAAAGTATAGGAAGTCAAGACAGTGAGTCGGAAATGCTAGAAGCCCATTGGATAGGGATGAGTCAGGTGACAGGGCTTGAGACAGTCACCAAGTAGGCAGAACTAGAACAGTATCTGGGTCTAGAGAGGTAAAAGACATCTTCAAATGGAGGCTGGACTATTAGCAGCCCTGTTGTAAAAGAGGGGATGAGTTGTGGCCATAGGCTATTGTAAAGGGTAAAGAGAGGCTCAGGAAAGAGCAGAGTGGTTGTACAAGGCAGTTATTAGGGACAGTCTGTGAGGGAGCCTTGGACTGGTGGTCTTTGGTGCCATGGGTTATTCTCCTGGTAGATAAACTCCCTGTGGCTCTCTGTTTCCTGTTTATATTCTTTGATAAAGTAGCCTGTGGTAGGTGACTGGCCATAATTAGCTGGGCTGAGGGAGGAAGTAGCATGGAGACCAGGTCATGTGGTCATAGGATGGGGTGTGTGGGGGGGAAGACATGACCAGATGAACTGCTTATCCAAACCCACAAGGTTTCCCCTCAGAACTCTGGAGTAGAAAAGATAAAGGTGGGAAATAAGGACTTAATGGATACCTACTGCATGCCAGGCACTGCTCTAAATGCTTTACATACATTATCTCATTTGATCCCCACATCAGCTCTGGAAAGTAGATGCTATTATTATCATCCCTATTTTGTAGTTGAGGAAACCAAGGCATATAAAGATTAAATAACTTGTCCAGGGTCCCATAGCTAGTAACTGTCTGAGGCTGGATTTCAACCCAAGTCTTCGTGACTTCAGGCCCGCTGGATAGAATTATCCACTGCACCACCTAGCTACCTGTACAAACAGCTACCCCTCTGGAGAGCCTACTGGACATGGGTGGTGTGAATTGGGCATGAGCCCCAAGTGGGGTACAAAAGTAGAATTACTTCATTGGGAATAATCAGGGGCCTCTTATGATCTACTCTGGTTACAGAACACCTCACTGAAGCACAGGGAGCTGAGTTCACTCAGCAATTTTTGGAACACATGCTCTGTGTTGAAGAACTCAGTGTTTTGGAAAGATGCAGCAATCCCATAGTCCTTTTGTTGACAACAGAGGCAGAGAGCTGTTTCAAAGAGGATTGGCTACTGATCAGGAAGAGCAGCCCATTCAATAGACTTTAAAAAGAGAGACAACTTCCACTGTTGCTCTCTTCTTCCTCTCTTTTGAATTTGTGGCTTAGAATGCTCTCTTTCTGCAAATTCTCACGAAAGGATGAGAAGGGCATCTCCTAAGCCCTGTGACCTTAGCAGCAATGGTAACTGTTCACACATGACAGAATTAGTTGCCTAGGAGAGCCTGAGACTGGTTCTTGGGTTCCTCTGCTTCATGTTTCTATCCCTGAGCAAATCTGACCAATAGTGATCCTGAGATGGGCCTTTAGGAGGTCCTGGGGCCCTTGCTGGAGCTGACTGGCAGCAGAAAGAGTTTTCTGCAGCTACATCTGGCTCACAGAAGATTACCAGTGATAGGAGGATGAGGCCAGACCTTGGCAGACTTATCAGAAGACATGGGCCTTGAGGGAATTGTTTGGATGGTGCAGAGTCAAGTGGAAAGTGAAATAGCTCTTTTAAATATCAAGCTCCTGAGAGAATATAATTGGAATTATGGGTTACTTTTAATGTTTTAATTCTTTGCCAATGTACACCTATGATACTTTTCTTTTTTAAATATTTCTTTTGTGTGGAAGAAACAAATAGCTATCCTATACTGCTCCACATTTTAGACCAATTCCCTCTGTAATTCCTTTTGGGGAGACCCTAGACACGAGCTAAACTGAAGCCTTCAATGTTTTCTTCTGGGGGAAAAAAGCCCAGTAGACAAGAAGAAAGAGCCTGATACCCTTTTATGGGGAAGGGTCTGAACTGAGTCCTCCTGTAAGCCCAGAGCTCAGGGCATCCCTAGCTTCCTGGTCCAACATCAGGTCTGTTGTTTCCCATGTGGAGATAGAGATGCCTTCTTCCACTAAGGGGCTCCAGCTCTGGGCTCTTGAGCAGACTGAGTTCATTCCCAGCAGAACATGGTCCCTAGAGAGAGGGCTCAAGCTCTTTCTCACACTTGTTGACTAAAAATAATCCAATAATGACTGATACTCCATACTCCTAAAGCTGAACTTGACATCTTTCCCCTCAAAATCCCTGCCTCTTCCCAGTTTCCTTTACCAATGTTTATGAAACTGTTTCATCTTCTTTGGTTCTTTTCCTTCCCTTCATCTCCAGAAGCCATCATTAATGTTCTGTTAATTCTGCCTCATCTCCCTTCCTACATTTTACTCCTACTGTCTTCACCCTAGTATAGGCCCTTACATCTATCATTCACATCACTGCTAAAACAATATTCCTGATAAATAGTTCTGATCCCTTCACTCTACTGCTCAGTGTTCACTATTGGCAGAATGAATGTTTGATGAACAAAAAACTAAAGAGGGATGGGAATGTTCCTGTGTCTCAGGAGCCCACAGGTAACTATGGTGTTTGATATTATAGGTGGGGGAAATAAATGATCCTTTGGAGGGTCTTTATTTGATGGTTCCTAAGGGTACCATTGGGTGAAATGACTAGGAGTTAGGAGGCAGTGAATGATATTATCCTGTACTATCCCTGCTCAAACTGACCCATTGGACTAAAGGGGAATTCCCTGCCTCAACTTTCCATCATACTTACCTCTTATGCTTAGTGTGAAATAATGTTTAGTAGTGAAATAAAAAGTCAAATATCAATATCCAGATGCCAGTTATCCTCCTCCTCCTAATGCCCAGCTGGGGTATCCATTGCAACTCATTTTACTCACCTGAAACACAGCAAACCAATCCATGGCTGTATGACTTGCACACCCTGTCCTTTGACAGCACTAGGTATTCCACAAATGATTGTAGGAATCTCCTCCCCAAGCAAAAGAAAGTGTGCTATAGGGGCACCCCCACCACCACAGAGGGCAGGAAGATCTTTGGCTCTGCTCAGGGAAAGGTATAGAGACCTGCCTTTACACAGAACACAGACACAGCAAAATACTTTGGGGCTCTCAATCCCTTGCCCCATTCCTAAGTTCCTTGTGGGCCCTGCTGCTCCCTGGTCTGTTCCTTGCACTTATTCTTCCTCAAAGCAGCCTCCTCCCATATCCTAGAAACTATTTTTCAATCATAAGTCAGAGCATATCTACTGACAATGATGTTAGACTTCACAGAGGCAGCTGCAGGAAAGATATAATTTTGTTGGATGTAGTAAGGGCTATTTTGTATATTTTGGGGAGGGGAGATGCATTCTTTTTTAGATGTTTTGGGGGAAAAACCTTAACTGTAGGAGATTCGTTTTTCTATAGATAGATGAAGGATAAGACACCCAGTTAGCTAAGCTACGCAGTAGCAATAAAGGCAGAATGCCAGTGGAGACCTCATCAATGTCATTAAGAAATTTCCTTAGTTTCTGGGGATGAGCTTGTGGCTAGAGAATGAGCACCATCTTGTGTGTCTAGGATAGAGGGACTTGATAAAGAAGGGGATTCCAAATCTTCTCAGAAGGCATCCTAATGAGATAAATGATGCCTGTATGGGTGGGCAAGGAGGGACAATCTCTCTGTGCCAAGAGAGAATCAGCAGAGGCCAAGCTAGATCTAGATGGGGTGCATTTCCTCATCTGGGATGCAGTTTCTTTCTTTGTGCTTATGTCTAATTACCTTTTCCTGGTCTGTATATTATAATGGCCCATATATCATAAAATTATTTCCCTGATCCATGTAACATGAATCTGTATATTCACTTTTTCCTTCTCAATAAACAGTGGCAAAAATACCCAAAACACTGATGATCTGGAGTGTGAGGAGACAGCTGGGGAAAGGGAAAGAGGGATAGAATGGTAGACTGACCCTCAGTCCCAAAGGCAATGACAGTCAGAAAGGAAAGGAAACAGAGCATGGAGGTGTGGCAGATCTCCCCTTTCTGCCCTCCCCCTGTTGTCCTTGCTTCCTCATCTTCTTACCCTACCCTCTCTTTTTCATTTGAGGCCTTGCACTTCTCCTCATATTCTTCTCATAATATTCTAGATAATAGCGGTTCTATCATTTTATGCAATACCAGCCTGTCATTTAATTAAAATCCGCAGTAAACCCCAGTACTGCTGTTGAGAATTGGTCCAGAGCTTCATTATCAGCCTGGCCTCCCTTATCAGTAATAATGTATTCCACAGGCCCCCTGGCCTCTCCTCCCCTCAGGACCAGAATTTGCAGATCCTATTTCTATATTCCAAAGTTCAGTGTTCTCTGATTGAAGTAGTTTGGGAAGCATCAGTCTTTGATGCAATCCTTGATCCAGCAGTCTAGTAGTCATGCTGTATACTGTGTGTGTGATGGACTGCAACGGCTTGGTTAGGCCTGGAGATGAGACACCAAAGTGATTTTACATCACAGATGTGATTATATTTGTAAACTGAACCTGTGCTCTGGCCCCTTCCCGTGGACCCCAAGATCAGGCTGCTTCCCATGACACATGTGCTCTGGTGTCTTGCTAAAGGGTGTCCACAACCTGAGTCTCCCAGTTGATCCCTTAATCCCCATGATGTTAGGGAAGGGGGGAACATTCTTCCACAAAGAAAATGGCCACTGAACCAGAAGGACCTATCCATTTAGAAGGCTTAAAAAGCGAAACAACCTCCTTTTTCTTCCCCTTCCCCGCCTGAACTTATTTCTTGGAATCATTCTGGCTCTTTCAGACTTTCAACAGGAAGGGGAGAGGGGGTCTCTCCTTTTACCACCTTCCCAGCAGCAGCTACAGTGACTATATGCAGGTGACAATGGGTACATGTGCTTGCCTGAGACCAAATCTCTAGTCCTTAGTTGCTTTTTTTTTCTGGTTTTGTTTTGTGTTTCTTTCCAGGAACACAGATGATGAAGCAGCAATCATGAGATGGATGGGGATTGCCTCATGAATTCATATGGTTCACAGTCATTGAATGTTCTGGGTGCTTGTTGGCAGGAGGCACTTTCTACAATGATGCTTCTTCTCTGCAGACATGACCACCAATCAGAGGATTGGGCCATGCATGCCTGGCTGGCCAGAAGATAGCTATGTTGTTTGAGATGCTCATCCATCCTGAAAATGAAATGCCTGTCTGAGAGACCCATACATCTTCTGGATGTCTTTTCCTTCTAGGAGAACATAATAAAGATGATGGGTAACATGAGTCCTTTAAGTTTCTGTTGATGTGCCTGTGAATCCTTTCTAAGGGGTTGCTGTTTCATGGTTTAAGTATTTGTCAATGTGTGCTTGTGTCTTCTTTTCTTTAGGTGTTTCTTTTGTGGAAGAAGAAAGAAATCACTGTCTTAAACCTGATATTTACTGCACATTGAGAAACTATTAGAAATGATCCTGTCAGTGGGGCGGAGCCAAGATGGCAGAGTAAAAGCAGTGACTTGCTTGAACTCTCCCCCAAATCCCTCCACATACCTGTAAAAATGACTCTGAACAAATTCTAGAGCAGAAGAACCCACAAAAAGACAGAGTGAAACAAATTTCTAGCCCAAGACAACCTGAATGGTTGATGGGAAAGGTCTATTGTGCCATGCTTGAGAGAGGAGTGTAGTTCAGCATGGGCCACACAGGCAAAGACAGGGCCTCAGCAAAACTGGAGCAGGCCTCAGGGGACTGAATCACTGGCAGTTGTGGCAGTTTCCAGACTTCTCAACCCACAAACGCCAAAGACAACTTAGAAGGGCAGTGGGAAAGGTCTATCAGACCTTGGAGAGAGAGAAGCATGGTCCAGCCCTAGTCCTGGAGCTGCTGCCTGTAGAGCTCTCGGGCCACAGTTAGTGTGGGGATCAAGCAGCTGATCAGAGGGGCATTGCAGGAATCTCTTTGCTGGTGCTGAGGCAGGATTCTCTTGCTTTGCCTATGGTTAGATCTGGGTCACAGTTCTGGGTGGTGATCCTGGGGAGCACAGGCCAGGAAAGGAGTAAGTACCTCACTTTTGATCATACCACCTTGGAAGAACAGAAAATTTATAGGTCCTTAGAAATATCTCTGAAAACAGCTGCACAAAACCCCTGAAGCTTGGGCCAGTACATCCTCCACACTGGAAGCCGACCCCTACCTTAACAAAGCATTTAAAATTCAAGTAATTGGCTGGGAACATGAGCAAACAGTGCAAAAAAGAAGTCAGACTATAGATTCTTACTTTGGTGACAAAGAAGATCAAAACATACAACCAGAAGAAGACAAAGTCAAAGCTCCTACATCCAAAGCCTCCAAGAAAGATATGAATCAGTCCCAGGCCATGGAAGAGCTCAAAAAGGATTTTGAGAAGCAAGAGAAGTAGAGGAAAAACTGGGAAGAATTAAGTTATTCCAAATACTCTTTTTGGGCTTGTGACAATTCGATGTAATTTTTTGGGGTAGGAGTGGCTTTTTTTAACCTCACTATCTTCCTGTGAATATGAACCCAGATCTTCTTTTATACCATAGAAGCTATCTATGGTGGGGCTCTTTTTCCTTTGCTTACTCATTTTTATTTTATTTTAGTCTATTTTTAGCAGCTTGTTATTGTAATCAGGCTTTAATCCTGACTTGTGAGTGATGGTGTCCGAGGCCTGAGGTCTTCCTTACTTTTATTTTCTGAATTCTATCTAGGGGTTCAACCTCAGGCACTTCTCCTCCCCTAAGCCACAGGTAGAGCCTCCAGTCACATCCCAAAAATGTTCTTGCTTCCTGAGGTACCTCACTCACTGCCATGTGCTTGCTCTTCCTTACCCAAAGCCATAGCCTAGGATCATGTCTGGTCAGCACTGCTAGGCCTGGTATCCAGAAACAGTAGGTGTCTTTCAGTCTTCTCCCATTCAGCCATCTGATCCCTAAGCTTTTTGTTAGATGAAAGTTTGTGAGGTGAAAATTTTATGAGGTGAAATTTCTTGAGGACTAGTTTGCTTCCTGAAGGAGTTCCTTCCAGGGTCTGCTGTTTGTTGGTTCAGCAAAGTTGGTCTGGAGACGTCTGCACTTCACTCATGCCAAACTTCAGCCTCATAAGGGTCTATCTTTCCTGAGGTCCTCTCAAGGTGTCTTAGGAAGATGATTGCTTTACCCCTTTACTCTTGTTGCTGTGAGTTCATTTTGTGGTGATGTTCTGTCTATTTGTGGAGGAAATTTGGAGAGTCTGGAAATTTCTGACCTACTCTGCCATCTTCCCAGGATGCTTCATCTAGGAGTTTCTTTCAGTACATCTTTTCAGGTCAGTTCCTGGGTTGTATGAGATCAATGAGATCCTGATTGTGACTTTTGCATTTGAAGTTGAAGTGGCCCTTCATTACCTATGGATAGAGCACAGATGTTGAGGTAAGAAGGGGGTAAGTAGGGTAGAAATGTGATGGAATCATGGGATGTTAATAAAGCTCCAACTGGCAGTCCCTAAGTAGCCCAGATCATAAGGGTCCACTAGTATTTCTGCAGTTCTGACCCCTTCTATCTCAGTGTAGCCTTGATTTGTACTTTCCCCTCCACCCTCAACTCTGAACATTTCAGACCTGTATAACCCTGTATAATACTGCCCTGAACTCTGGGTTCCAGTTTCTGCACAGTTCTGGCCTTTTGTCCACCAGTCCATGTGTAGGCATCCTTCTCAGTGTTCCATAACTCTGAATTTTTCCCTGTCTTTGCAAAACTGATCCATAACTCCTGGTCTTCACACAGTCTTGACCCCCAAGTGTGACCTAATCCCCATGTAGCCCTGTGCTCCATGCTTCCTCTTCTATGTACTTGCCTAAAGTATGGAGGACTAGGACCCTTCTAAGTCTGTGTTAATTCAAATAGAATGTGGTGCATAAGACAGGACTGGAGCTCAGGGAGGGGGTTGGAGAGGGTTCAGAGGGCCCAAGGACTGCAAAAGGGCCAAAAACAGATGGTCCTAGGCCTATTTCCTCTAAACATCACCTCATGGTTCCTTTTTGGCTTATAGGGAATCTTTATGACTGGACATTTAAGTATGGCTGGACAGCTTTTGCAACATTTGTTATGCTGATAATATTATAGAGTGTATCAGTATGCTTATTCGGAACGCTTGTCACCACACACAACCAGTCCCCAGAGCTAACAATAAGGTAATTTCAGGTGGCGCCTGCATTTCACTTATTTACAACTGAATATCCCCATAGGTAGTTGATGAGGGACCAAGTTGAGCCTAGGGGACACGTGCTCAGTTGTCAGTGGGGCTAGGTTGGTATAGGAGTTTAAAAAGATGAAAAGAAAGACAACCTTTCTTCACCACAAGAAGGTCAGTGGGATGTTTGGTGGCATGGGTTAAACTGAGGAAGACTACGGACTTGCCTCAGACTGGACTGGGAAGAGGACAGTAGAAGGAGGTCAAAGAGAGGTCACTCTCCATTTCTTCTTCCCACTCTCCTTTCCTCCCATTTTCTGTAGGCCCTTTGTCTCCTCTCCTTCCTGCCATCTCCCTCTTCTCTGCTTCTCTGCTTCCTTCTAGTATCTCCCTTTTCTATTTTCCCTTTACGCACTTCTTTTCCTCTCCTCTTTCCTCATCCCTCTATCCTTTTCTCTATGCATGCTCTTCTCAAACAGATGCCTAAACACTCAGGTAAATCAACCTGATCCAGTACACAAATTTGTTTCCCTCTCTTGTTCTTGAGTGAGATCAAGGAGGCAGATGCCATGTTCAGGTCTCTAAATAGTAGTGGGAGTTTGGGGTGGGGTTGTACAGGAGGGGACACCCATTTGTCTTCTATTTCTAGGCTAATGTCTTGGGACCACCTTACCCTGCCAGGCTCCCTAGTCCTTGATTTGCTTAAAGCCCTTGACAGTGAGCTCCAACCCTTTCAATCACTCACTATCTACATTCCCTTCCTATGGTTCAAGTTTTATGGCTTATGGTGGTCAGTCACTCAGGAAATATTTTTTAAGCATCTACCATGTACCAGGCACTCTGCTAAGCCCTGGGGTTACAAAGAATGGCAAAAGACAGTCCTCACTCTCAGTCTAAGGGTGTAAACCACATGCAAACCATTACATACAAACAAGTGATATACAGGATAAATTAGAGATAATCAGCACTGGAAAGTCATTAGAATTAAGGGGGAAGAAGAATGGGTTTTCATAAGAGGTGTGATTTTAGCTGGCACTTGAAGGAAGTCAGGAAAGTTGGGTAGGTAAGATGAGAAGAGAGACGTGAAGGAGAGCCAGTGAAAATCCCTGGAATTGGGATATGGAGTGTCTTGTTCAAGGAACAGCAAGATCAGTATCACTGCATCACAGAAGACATGGAGTAGAGAGGATAAGTTATAAGAAGACTGGAAAGGAAGTGGCAGGTTATAAAGGGCTTTGAATGCCAAACAGGATTTTATATTAGATCTTCTTCCTTGCAACCTGAAACTGTTCTTCATTCTCACCATCACCACCATCCATCAATGCCTCAGTTCTTTCCCAGGCCATCACCCTTACACTAGCTATACTCTTCCATTCCCTCTGGACCCATTTGAAAACCAGTTCAACTCTCCACTTTCCTATTCTCTTGAGTCCCTTGCCCTCTTACCTTACTGCCTAACTTGCTTTGCAAAGTCTTAGGTTTGGATCACCCCCACCATCTTGTACCTTTGCTCCTGCAGTTGACAGAAGCTAGAGAAAATCACAAAGCCATGCTAAGTCCACTATATATTTGTGTTACATCGTTTCCACTGGGGCTCTTACTGCTGCAAGGCAATCCTTTTAAACTTCCCTAATTATTTCACTATTCCCTTCACCACAGTGGCTCTTCCAAACCTTTTCATCCCTCCACAGACCTCCCATGGCTAACCCTCCCACCATCCTCTCAGCTGATAACCTAGCCTCATATTTAACTAAAAAATTGGGAGACATCTCCTTTTACAAAATTTCTAAAAGATCTCTCTTCTCCCACCTTCTTCATCTTATATCACTGAGATGCCTTCTGCCACTATCTCCTCTTTCCTCACTATCTCACACATATAATTGGCTCATCTTGCCAAGGCAAACCCCTCTACATGTGCAAGTGGTCCCATTCCATTCTGTCTCCTCCCCCAGATTTCCCCCTTTATCACCCCTATTCTCTCACCTATTTTCAATCTCTCCATATCTGCTTGGTGATTCCTTTTGGCCTATGAACATAAACACGTTTCCTCCATTCTCAAAACACACCGATCAATCCATCCATTCCTGTTAGCTATTATCATATCTCCCCTCCCTTTTCAGGCTAAACTCCTTGAGAAGGCATCTACAATAGATGCCTACTTCCTTTCCTCTCATTCTTAACTCCCTACAGTATGTCTTCTCAGCTCATCAGTTAAATGAAACTCCTCTCTTCAAATTTACTAGCAATCTTCTAATTGTCATAGCTCATGGCCTTTTATCAAACTTCATCTTTCTTGGTCTCTCTGCAGCCTTTGATACTGTTGTCACCTTTTCTTTTGCCTATTGTTGTTGGTCAGTTGCTTCCAATACTTTGTGACCTTGTTTTGGAGTTCTCTTAGGAAAGATACTAGAATGGCTTGCCATTTCCTTCTCCAGATCATATTTACGGATGAAGAAACTGAGGCAAACAGGGTTTGCTCAGGGCCACACAGCTAGTAAGTGTCTGAGGCCAGATTTGAACTCATGTAGATGAGTCCTCCTGATTCCATGTCCAGTGCTCTATCCACTGCAGCACTTGACTGCCACTTTTTTGCTTAATACCCTTTTTTCTAGATTTTTGTGATACTTCTTTATCCTGGTTCTTCTCCTTCATATCTGACCAGTCACCTTCACTGGATCTTTATCTAGGCCATGTCTACTAACCATGAGTATCCTACAGAGTTCTGTTGTGGGCCTTCTCTTCTCCCTTTGTTCTATTTCACTCAGTCATCTAATCATCTCATGTGGATTCAATTATCATCTCTGTACTGTCCTCTTGTCTGTTTGCCCAGTCCTAATCTCTCTCCAGAGTCTTGTATCTCCAATAGCCTATTAGACATCTTAAAACCAATGTCATAGAAATCTTAAGGTCAATATGTTGAAAACTAAATTCCCACCTAAAATCCTCCCTTTTCCTAAATTCTCTCTTCCATTGGATGATTTTGCAACCTAAGTTAACTCCTCACTCTGTCTGACTGCTCCCTCATATTCAATCTCTTGCTAAAGCCTTTCATTTTTACTTCTGTAACATCCCTCATATATGGTCCCTTCTCTCTGACACTGCAACCACCTGGAGCAGGCCTTTATCATCTCACACCTGGACTCTTGCAAAAGTGGATCTCCCTGCCTCAAGTCTCTTACCACACTGCTCTAGAAATATATATCATCAAATTCATAAATTCTAGTGACTCACTGTTAGTTCCTGTATCAAACATACAATCCTCTGTTCGGTTTTGAAAGATCTTCCTAACTTGACCCCTTCCTACCTTTCCAGGCTTCCTTTAGCTTACTTCCCTCCATGTCCTCTGCAATCCTATGATCCTGGTGTCCTGGCTGTTCCTTGCACTCTTCACTCCATCTCATGACACTGGGCATTTCCACTGACTTTTCCCCATGCCTGAAATGCTCTGTCTCCTCACCTTAGCCTTTCTTGGCTTCTGTCAAGTCCTAGCTAGAATCTAGAGATGTTACAATCATCAGTCACTAATCACTTGGTTTCCTTCAAGTTCTAGCTAAAATCTACAGATGTCATAATCACCAGCGACCAATGCACAGGCTATGTGATTTGACACTGCACTGTGAACAGCTGTCATGTTCCCTCCTCTGCCCTAGCGCTCCCCCTTCCTGCTGCTCCTGACAACTTTTATACCCCATGCTTGTGCTGCCTTTTTAGTTTAGTCACTTTCCCCTCATCAGTAAATACCTATGGGATGGGGGCCCTTTGACTTCCCTACCCCCACCAGGTTTCATGCTCAATAATTATTCTTGTTTCTAGGTGACTACATGGAAGCCAGGGGCAGAGCTGCATCCAGCCATGGATGACTGATCTCTGAAGGATTTGCAATGGTAGATGACTGCTGAGCGAGAACAGATGATGCCTCATCAAATGTACAAAAATCATGCTATTGACCTCCCTGACTCTCTCTTCAATTCTAGCCTTGAAGCTTGAGGTCTCTTTAATGTTGCAATAGGGGAATCAGGTTGGGGCAGGGATGATTGTCCTGTTTTCCACCCAGCTACCATGTGTCTATGATTGCCTAGCCACTTCTGACTCTTGTGTGTTTATTCTGTCCTGACTTTGTCAAATAAGTTTTCCCCTGCTGGCTTTGTCAAGGACTGGGTGGGACCATGTGATTTGAAAGGTCTGAAATTCTTGAGTTCCAGTGAGCAATTGGATGTCAAAAGGGACCATCTCTGCATCATCAGAGAAGATGCCAGATGTCTGACCCAAGTTGGCATTTGATTTGACAATATCAGAGGTGAAAAGTAAAGTGCCTGCATAATGTATTGCAAACTGCCTTATAGGACACCTGGATGGTGCAGTGGATAGAGTGCTGGTTCTGAAGTTAGGAAGACTCATCTTTGTGAGTTGAAATCTGGCCTTAGACATTTACTAACTGTGGGGCCCTGAGCAAGTCACTTGACTCTGTTTACCTCAGTTTCTCATCCATAAAATGAGCTAGAGAAGAAAATACTTCAGTACCTCTGCCAAGAAAACTCCAAATGGGGTCACAGGTGTCGAACACAACTGAAGTGACTGAAAAAACAAAAACTGCTTTGCTTTGATATAGTTTAAATATTACCATTACACACATTATGTGTGTGAGGATGAGTTACTGAAGTCTGTTCTAATCCCATTGTTAAAGTATATTATGATTTGTCTATACTTAGAATTACTTTTTGTGAGTAGGAATAAACTACTTGCCCCATTCTTGATTCATATGGTACTTTAAATACCTTTGTTCCTTTCCCATTTTGGAGGAAACTGAGACTTGTAATAAATAATCTCATTTTCTTTGGCCTTCAGGGTAGGGATTTGTTAGCCAGCCAATACATGTGAAACAAGGGAACCTTCTTTTACCAAAGGCCAGGATGCACAGGACCAAACCCCAAGTCAGCTTAGTATTAAGCAAGTCGTGCTTAATACAAGACAGAGAGGGATTAGTACCCTAGCATCTGTTGTTAGTACTTTTAGGTTATACCTAGCATATCTTTACCCACCATAGTCACCTGGGGGAAAATAGTCTCATAAACCTCATGACCTTTAACTGTTCAGGAAACTACGCTCCTGTGAATATACTTGTGACCCACTGACTTGGGGGGTGGGTGGTTGGAGAGAACTCAGTGGAACTGGATATTCTTCTTCTAGGAATCATTGCTGACCTTGTCTCCCACCTTCCTTCTTTATATGGTGACCCTAAGACCAGAACACCTTACCTCCCAGTGACAGCTCTGGTTTTATCCATCTCTTGATGCGCCTGCCTGCTAATGCTCTGGCTTATTCATGTTCCATTTTAGGTCTCAGTCTTTCATTTGTAAGTGTGACAAGACTAGCAGTTTGCTGAGGTAGCTTCCCAGCTTCCTGATCAAGCTTCCCCCCTCCACAAATCCTGATTGGCCAAGCTTCCCTGACCCAGCTTCCTGGTCTTACAGCACCTCTCAGATTTGGTGGGTACCTGACATCCCGTGAGTCACCATATCCTGGCAACTGACTGACCAGATGCATTTCCAGAGGAGACAAAAGGGATTGCATCCAGAGGAGTCAGGTGCTACTGTGTCTTTGTTATATATCCTTGCTATGTTAGGGCAAATGTTATTAAATGTGTAGTGTTAAATATTCAGTGACTTGGGACATTTTGTCCCAACGTTGAACCTGAAACTGAGAGGGCTAATAGGCTGGTATTAGAGTCCTGCCTCTAAGTGTAATACATTAAAATGTAATGATAAAGAATCTAAGAGGCAGCATGATATAATGGCCAGGAGGCCTGCCTTGGGCTCAGAATGTCCTGCCTCTGACACACACACCAGCTCTGTGACCAACCATGGGCAACTCATTTAACCTTTTGTTGCCCCAAGCCACACTCCAAGATAATCGTATTAGCAGAGGGAGTTTCCATATCAGTCATTCCCTAAACAGATGAAATCATAGTTCTGGGCCAAAATAAAGAGTCTTCACTTGATATATGAATATCATATCTTATTCTTTTGTGAAATGTGCTATCAGTTTGGAAAGTACCACATTATAATGGAAAGAGGGTTAGATTTGGAGCAGGAGTCTAAGTAAAGTCAAGAATTTATTAAGGATCTAATATGTGCCAGGCACCCTGCTAAGGGCTAGGGATAAAAAATAAAATAAAATAAAAAAAGAACTCTCAGCTTAATGGGACTTCTCCTGAACAGACAGATATAACAATGAAGAGGAGCAGTCACAGTTTCCATAAGCCTGGGAAGGATTGTGTGTGGGTTTGTATATTGGGGTAAGAGTGGTCTGGGTTACTTCATAAGGACACCAAAGGAGGTGTGGAGCAGGTTTCAGCAGGTAGAGTGGAAACTGGATAAATGTGGGCTCTGTTCTAGGGGATCTCCCCTTTTGAGAGTAAATATGTCTGCTTATGCCTTGCCTGGGGGAAAGGAGGAAGTCATGGGGAGTGGATAGAGGAGATAAAAGTGAAGTGGTGGAGAAGAAATTTGTTTCCCATACCATGACTGACTCCCAGCCCAGAGAGCATCCAGGAAAAAAGAGACACTGTATATAGGTCAGCAACCACAGTTACTCAGCATTGTCCCTCAGCTCAGCTCAGCTCAGCTCAGCTCAACACAGTTGAAGAGGTAAGTCTGGCCTCTGCCCTTAGCCTCACTCTTTCTTCTTCACTCTTAGCTCACATTGGCTCTTTCTCTTTCTGGGTCCCTAAACCTTAGTGAAGGGGCAAGGAATCCCTTAGAGTCACCATAATGCCAGGGATCAGATAGAAATCATGGTCTGTATAGTCCCTGGGACTGAACAGCTGTTCTAGCCACCCTGCTTCTCATGTGTTAGATGAGGATGAAGAGGGCAGAGGTGGAGCAGTTTATTATTTATTATTACAATCAGAGTGGGCTAAGGGAGGAGGAGTGAATGCAGTAGGGTGGAGCAGATGGGGGGTGTGGCTGGGGCAGACTAGAGGAAGTGCCATGAACATTACAAAATTGAGGGGATAAAGTAGCCAGAATGGATTGCATGGAATAGAGGGCGCAGGACAGAGTGGATGGAATGGAAATCAGGCTGTATTGAGCAGCATGGTGCTCAGAGGATAGGAAGGGATTGAGTCATTGTGAGCTGCCTGGCTCAGACAATATCTAGAGCACTGTCATTGGTTCTGGGTGCTGTATTTCAGGAAGGCCAGAGCCAAGCTAAAAAGTGTGCAGAGAACTGGGTTGGTGAAAAGCCCAGAGATTCAATAACTGGGAATGTTCAGTGTAGGCTCCAGAATTCTCCCACCTAGAGAACTCTGTACCTCCCTCCCAAACAGTAGGGCAAGTCTGATACCAATGGAAGAGGCCAAAGAGCTCCAGATTGATTATAGGTAGTAGTTTAATCAATTGGATACTTACATTGGAGCAGTATGATAGATCCCTGCCAAGAGTTTGATAGTCATCAGTCTGGGGTGGTGGCCAGACTATAGGTTGGATCCCTGCAAAGACCCCTGGAAAGTCCAGTGGCAATTATAAAAACAAAGGGAAGTAGAGCTATAAAACACATCACTTTTGATTGCTGGATATTTTGGGTTTCTTTTTTAGTAATGAGGTAATTTTCAAGCCTGGGTGTTAAGCCAACATCATTCAGTAAAATTCCCAAAAACAGGTTTCTGTATTGATCATGTACTGGTCACAGATGGGTTACTGTATTTGTGTTATGACTGTTAACTGACACATTATCTAAGTCATGACTCAGCGTCAAAACATTATAAGGCAGGCTTAAGCAGGGTTGACCAAGTAACTTAACTGGTTTTAAACAATTTTCCCACTGTCTTTTAGTTTCTTTCAGTTTATACTCTAAGTTATACAAAGTTGCTTGACAAAACTGATACAAAGTTTACCAATTTGAAACAATATTGTGCATCTGAAACTTGAAACAAGCCCATTACTGATTAGGTGGCTCCAATTCTGTTGAATGCATTTTCCAAATTACACAGAAAATCAGGCATCTCATCACCATTGCCATTGTGTACTGATCACATCTAATTAAGGAACTAATAGTAAAAGTTAGTGTTTATCATGTCTGCTCTCTGCCAGGCTTTGTGTTAGGCACTTTACACTCATGTGAAACAAACTGAAGTAACTTGCTTAAGGTCATCCAACTAACAAATTTCAGATCTATGCATCTTCCCAATTTGTCTTAGTGACAAATAGCATAACAAATTCTGACTTATCTTAACCATCCAATTAGGAGAGACACATTTCACTTAAAATGTGACCAGAATGAATTAAATTACATCTAGATCTATGTTGCAACTGGTGTTATACAGACTCTCAGGTAATGATTTTAATATTATAGTATCATCTTTTACACAACTGCTATTTATTCCAAACATTTCATATTATGGAGTCCACTATTTCCAGCCAACACACTGCCAAAGATTATAATTATATTAGGATTCAATCTAGTCAAAATATCACACTTAGAAGCATGTTTTAATTTAATTCAAATCTGGGTTCCACAATCTCAGACAGAACCCATAGCTTATGAATTCACCCATAGCCCTCTATGATTTCTTAAAACGAATAGGAGTCTCATATAATTTACAATCAAGTCTCCAACTTTAACACACATACTAATTTAAAAAGTTATTTAAAAACAAACCAGTACTTAACTTTGTTTTCTAAGACTCTTATTAATTCTAGCTAGATGTTCCAATCAAACTCAATTGCTTTTCGTTTCCTGAGTCACATACAACCCTTTTCTCTTTTCGTGAGCCAGGAAATGATTAAAAGCCAGTTCTATTCTAAGTGCAAGCCTTGAAACTTTTCACTGACATAGCCCCCAAGCTCATCTCTGTAATCACTGAAATGACCTTCTTCTCTAGCTGTAAAACAATAAACCAGTCATTCAAAGAGTGGGAGGTGTGGCGATGGAAAGAACCTGACTGCAGTTCAGAAATCACGAGACACAAACAGATCAACAACTATTTTTTTCAAAACTTTCCAAACCTCTCTCAAATCCTGTTAACACTGTCAGTGCAAACAGATTAGAACTTTCTTTTTGCCCATGCTACTCTCATTCTTACATACTTCTAATAATCATATCTCAAACAATCTATACTTTACTGAACATATTTTCTTTTTCTCTCCTGTCCATCCACTCCTCTGAAGCTGCTGCAGTCAGGGAGGGAGGGAGAGAGTGAGAGAAAGAGAAAGAAACTCTTTCTATACTCTATACCATCCTCTGAATCTTCTTCTGTATTGCTTTCTTCCCAGGGGTCCCTGCCTTATTGCCTTCTTGTCTATATGCCTACCTCCCTTCAACCTGGCTAACCAGCAAGCCAGTGTTTCTACATGCTTCTCTTTCGTTATCAGCCTTTCCCTTCCCAGGTCAAGGTACCTGGTGCTGTTCCCTTCACTTGGTGGTGGCTCCCCCAATTCCTTGGGAAAAGGCCATCCCCTGTCAGCCACCAGCCTTTTCCCTTCATTATCCTGCCCCAATTCCCCTTTGGCATTCCTTTGGTATCCTGCTGACTATGCCAATTGTAGGGTTCAGAATCCCCTACCTAGGAACTCTGTACCTCTGTCCCAAACAGTGGGGCAAATTTGATAGCAGAGGAAGAGGCCAAAGAGCTTCCGACTAATTATAGGTAGTAGTTTAATCAATTCGATACTTAGATTGGGGCAGTATGATAGATTCCTGCCAAGAGTTTGATAGTCATAAGTCTGTGGCAGTGGACAGACTATAAGCTAGATTTCCACAAAGACCCCCGGAAAGCCCAGTGATAATTATAGAAATCAAGCAAAGTGAGGTGGAGCTATAAAGCATGCCACTATTGATTAGTCTATACATTGGGTTTCTGCTTAGTAATGAGCTCATTTCCAAGCTTAGATGTTAAGCCAATGTTGTTGGGTAAAATGTCCAAACACAGGTTTGTGTATTGATCACATGCTGGGTCTGATACATTATCTAAGTTATGACTCAGTGTCTGAATTATGATTTTAACAGATCACCATATCCAGACTTCCACCTTTTCCAGAGCTGAAGTTATGGCTTTTACTTCTTACTGAGTTTTATGGCTTTTCCCCAACTGGGGAATCAGTCTTCCTATCCCCTGGCCATCACAACACCTTGCCAATACTTCCACATGGGACCTTATACAGGATAGGGGGTAAAAAATAGAATGGAAATTCCTTGAGGCAAGGACTGTCTTACCATTTGTATTTATAATACCAATGCTTAGCACAGTGTCTGACAAGTAATAAACACTAAATAAATGCTTGTTAAATGAGAAAGAAAACATAAATTAGTTTAGGTAAAACCGTCATTTTTATTATATTGGCCCTATCTATATAAACAATTATTATTTCTCCAATTATTTAAATCTGATATTATCTGAATAAAAATGTTTTATTTTTTATAACTTTGTTTTTGTAGTTCCTGGGTCTGTTTTGGTAGGTGTACTCCCAGGTATTTTATACTTTGTGGATTAATTTAATTTAATTTAATTTGTTTTTTAGGCAGTTGGGGTTAAGTGACTGGCCCAGGGTCACACAGCTAGTAAGTGTTAAGTGTTTGGTCTGAGGCTGGATTTGAACTCAGGCCCTCCTGACTTCAGAGCAGGTGCTCTATCTGCTGCACCACCTAGCTGTCCTTGGATTAATTTTAAACAGAGTATCTATTACTCTCTCTTCTTGCAGGGTTTTCTTTGTGGTATACAGAAATATTGATGATTTATCTGGATTTACTTTATATTCTACTTTGCTAAAATTATTAATTGTATCAACTAATATTTTAGTTGAGTCTTTGGGATTTTCCAAGTATATCATCATTTTGTCTGGGAAAAAAAGATATTTTATTAACTCATTCCCTATTGGGGTTCCTTCTATTTGTATTTCTTTTATTATTGCTATTGTTCCCCTTCACACAGTGTATGACTTAGCCAAACTGGCCTATTCTCAGTCTTTCATACATAACTTTTACACAATTCATCTCCCATGCCTGAAATATATGCTCTCTTCATCTTCAATTCCTGGATTCCCCAGTTTCCTTCAAATCTCAGATAATATGTATCAAAATATTTTTGAGACCCTCTGTTTCCCAGAGCCAAGAACCAGAAAGCAGGCTGCGCCCTGAGCATGGCATAATAATAGTTCTTTTTGCTCTGGATGATCTCATTCCCTTGAAAAATGTATTTCTTTGACCAGCTCCAGGTGTTTACTGAGGGAGTTTTGATTTTAGCTCACTCTATTTCCCAGGGACCTTACAGCCAACATCTATCACGTCTCTGACATGCTCACAATCCCTGTTCATTGTACTCCTGTTCCTATCACAGAACTCTAGTTCTGTACCCCAAAGAGTCATCACAACCCCCAAGACTTGATACAATTAACTAAAGAACTTTCCCACAGGATTTATGGGAACAGCAACTCAAGACCTAAAAATGATTATGTCATGCTCCAGCCCAGTATGTATATAAACTCTGCCTTTCCCTTAGCAAGATAAATCTTCCTTCTTAGGAGGTAAGGCTTCCACCTACAAGTCTCATTTTCCTCACTTTGAAATTGATTAAACTTCTGTTTGTGTCTTGCTTCTAGCCTGTTCTGTTTTGGCTCTGGCAACCCACAAGTTAGAGGCCAGTTACAGTCAAGTTGACACTCGTTGGTGTCAGAAGTGGAACTGGACACAGTACAGGACCAAGTAAACTTTCTGGTAACAGTGGGAGTGGACTAGGCACTACTGGAGATTTGTTTCTCCAGCATCTGACCCCACCCTCAACTGGTGAGTCCTCTGTTCTTTGTTCCTGTGCCAGTCCTAGTTCATCCTTCATTGATCTCACCTTTCTTTGTGAGGAAAACTTCCATCCTTGATATGGTTCTAGTAAGGATATCCTCTGGTCTCTGAGCACCTCTGTAAATTTGCTGTTGTGTGCCTCTGTTTTTTTTTTTCTGCATACTTCACTACTGTGTTCCCTCCATAATCAATAGTTCCTGCCTCCTCTGTTTTGGCCCAGCCCCCACAGGCCAGAAAACTCTCACCTGCCTCTGTTTTTGTTTTTGGCTCTCAGCAGGCTGAAGAATGTTTGGTCATGAACTGTAATTTGGCCTCTCTACTGCTGTGATCTGTGTGCGCCGCTCTCTTTTTTTTTCCTGCATTCTTCTGGGCAACCAGATAAAATCAGATTTATGGACTTTGTTGTTTCTATTTGTCTTGTCATTTTGTCTGTTTCTTTGCCTCTGTGTTTGTAAAATGTCTGTACCATGTTTGTGCTGCAAGCTAGATTCTGCTACCTTGAAAAATTTTAAATGCTGCTAATCAGAAAAAAACTCCTAAGGTCTATAGTTAAAGAAAAAATACAAAAGATTAATGAATTTTCTTGTTACGTTGTCATAGCTGAGGTAGTTGTTCCAGTAATCAGGACTAACTCCTACCTTAGGCTTTCCAAGGTAGATTAGGTTATCAGAAAACAGGAAAAGCCTGTAACACACTCTTTTTCCTCATCATTACAACACTGGCCAAGTTGGAAATACAGAAATTAAGTCAGATAATAAAAGTTTGTAGAACTACTAAAAACATCTTAGTAGATTCTGGAGAGTTTGAGATTAATCATTAAGGAGTTTCACAATTAGTCATTTTAAGATTGTAGGAGAGCCTTCTGAGACTTAGGAGTCATTTCAGGAACTCCCTCCCTTCTGAAACATCTTAGTAAGTTTTAGTGTAACATTATGTAGAATTTGTTTTAAGAAAAAAAAATAAGGATTAAATCTTGTAAAGGTTTTTAAAACTTTTTTTTTAAGGCAATTGGCAAGATGAGTAGTTTCATTGTTCTAAGGCAATGAAGGAAAGCTAGTTGGAAGAAATCTCAGAATGAAAGAAGTGAAAAAAAGTTAAACTATTTGCAGCAATGTCTTTAAGGCAAGCCTAGCCTTTGGCAGGCCTTGCATTGCTGCTGCCTGGGAGGGTCTGGGTGCCCCTACCAGTGCCTAGCATGGCAGTACAATGTGGGGGAGCCAGCCAACTTCTGCCCTTGGGGAAGCCACCCTTCTCTGTTCTGGTTGTAGAAATGTATTTGCTGTCTAATCTTAGGCAAGTTATTTCATCTGTTTGCCACAGTTTCTTGATATCAAAATGATATAATGATTGTAAAGTGCTTAACACAGTGACTAGCACCTGTCTGGCATTACCATGATTATTATTTCTTTAATTGAATATAATTGTTCAATATTTTCTAAGTTTAAAGTGGTTTTAAAATGCCCAAAGGTAATAAGATCAACGATTTTTATATGTGATAATTTGGAAATGCAACTGATGTCATCTGAAGTTTATTGTTTATGTTATTGTATTTCTAAACTGAATTGTATTTTTAAACTTATATTGTAAAATTTGTGAGAGCATTGTAAAACAGAAATGCTGTTAGACAAAACTTCCCTTTTAATCTAGATGCTGTTACACATGAATTGGGCATTTTTAAAGGATGTGATAAAAATTGAATATTTGAAAACTATTAAATATTTAATGAGGCCTATTTAGTTATAAAAGGAAAAAAAGGATCAAATAGTATACTTTGTTCTGCATACAGACTCCATAGTTCTTTCTCTTTTCCATAGTTCTTTTCCATCATGAGTCTTTTGGAGTTGTCTCAGATCCTTGCATTTCTGAGAAGAACCATGTCTATGAAAGTTAGTCATTGCTCAGTGTGACTGTTTGTACCAGTGTTCTTCTGGTTCTGCTCACTTTACTCAACATCAGTCCATACAAGTCTTTCCACCAGGTTTTTCTGAAGTCTGCCTACTCATCATTTTTTTTTTTTTTTAGGATAGGCAATGGGGTTAAGTGACTTTCCCTGGATCACACAGCTAGTAAGTGTTACGTGTCTGAGGCTGGATTTGAACTCAGGTCCTTCTGAATCCAAGGCCAGTACTCTATCCACTGCGCCACCTAGCTGCCCCAATACTCATCATTTTTTATAGCATAATAGTATTTCATTACATTCATATACCACAATTTGTTCAGCCATTTGTTGTGCCGTTACAGATGCGAGACAGAGACCCAATCAGAAATTTAATGTGGAGGTTTATTGAAGCGCTCGGCTGCAAGGGGAAGTCCCAAATCAAGCAGCCCTGAATGGAGAAAGAGCAAGGTTTATAAAGGGAAAAACCACAAGAGGGAGGGTCCTTATCACCATAAGCAATATTTGTGCAGAAGCCAGCCATTAGCTCCTTATCTGGGGGCTAACAGGATGCCCTTGAGCCTCATGAGACCTGAAATGTTCCAGGAAGTTAAGGAGGGAGGAGGTTATTCAAACTTAAAAAATAACCCTTGGGGTCCTCAACAATTTTGGGTTGCTTCACTCAGGTCGGTCATGGACAGGCCAACAAAAATAGGTTGCAGGGTCCCGTACTTCAATGCCCTGAATATTCACTTTTAAAGGAACTTTAGGCCCTAGTTGACTGGTCTTAGGACCCTAACTAAATATTAAGCCTAGAAATTAAGAATTGTAAGTATTGGAAAATTTGCCCCAAACAAATCCCTGAATATTACAGTGTTAGCTGTAGGAAAGATGCTCAAAAAAGTAGAACTCAGGTAGGTAGAAGATTACCTCCCTGCATTCATAATCAAAGCAGGGTGGGGGTGGGGTCATCTCTAATGACTTCAGTTGGGAAACTCCTCAGACAAAAGCTGAGTACCTCAGGAATCTAGTCCAATTCTTTAAGGAGAAGTTCCTCCAAAAAGTACAGCTCCTGGTTGGGGATGCCTGCAGGAGAGATGGGGTCAGGCATAAGAGGAGAAATGGATCCTAGCTGGGACAAGGGTGGAGTCCTTATCTGGGGATGACTAAAGAAAGAATTATTAAGCTGTGTAAAATTTGGTTTGAGAATACAGAGTTTGGAGGATTGTTTTGGCCAAAGCATGGAACTTTTGATTACTTAGAAAGTTGTGGAATTCTATTGAATAACCTTCCCAAATCAGCTTAGAACAAACTATTGCTACTGCTAAATTCTTCATCATTCTCAATTTTTTTCCTGTGATTATACTTTGGCAAAAAGTCTAGAGGAATGGAACTTTAATCAGCTCTTCTATTAGTGACTAGTATTAGTGACTAAATACAAAGTGTACTTTAAGTTGTGAATACAATTGGTAAATTAGACTAAAATAATTTTGTATTGTTAGTAAATTACATTTTTGATAAGATTCTAAAAGCATTAGCATAACTAGAAACAGAAGAATTATCCTGACAGCAGGACCCCAGCCACAAGACATTCATAAGGTCTATACTTAATAGAGGACACAGGTAAAGTCTTGACTTCAAAATGTCCTAGAGAAAAACCTAGTCATTCAAGCTTGATTTAATGTTGTGTCTTGTTATATGTTCTGTGTGTTTCTGTTTTGTAAATGATGACAATAAATTTAGGAATAGTGAGTTCCTTATTTCAGATAGAAAGGGACCTTATACAACTAGGAAAATCTTTAGGAGAATGTGAAATAAGTGTCTGTTTTATCTATATTATTTGGGCTTTATGCAAACTTTTAGCTAACAGGTGTTTTACCTACGCCTGTTCTTTCAGCATGATCAACCAAAAGAAACAGGCTATAAGAAAGAAAACTTGAAAGAAAAGCCTTAAAGAGGACAAATCTCTTCTTTCCCCCTCTCTTTCCAACACTGGCCATGTTGGAGATTACTGAGATGAAAGACAGATAGAGAAATTAATTGAAATCTAAGATACAAAAAAAAAAAGATTGAAAACAAAATTTGTGAAAAAGGAATAATTATTTTTTTATTTCTAAATTATAATCTGGATGTCTTTATAAAGTATTTTGATGAGCTTTATGAGGTACTAGCAAACTCTGCAGAGTTTAACGAAAACAACAATAGCAAAAAAAAAACACAGACCAGTTATTCTTTGAAAAGACCTTTAAAATGATTGGGGATTCATTTAAAGCTGATGTTTGTATTTTAAGAACTGTCTTATTAGTAATGAGATATGTTCAAAAGAGATTCAGTGAAATAACAATTCAAGGAAGTGTTAAAATAAGAAAAAAACTTAGGGAATAGCACAGGAGAAATTAGATTAAAAATCTTGTGATCTTAAATAATTCCACAATTCAGAATTTAAAAAGGAAACATATTTATTAAGCCTGAAGAAGTTTCAGCTGGCCAATTGATAAGTCTGAAGTTCTGGGGTATCAATTGGTGAAACAGGTTTTAATTTTAGTGTAGAATAAAGGCATACTTAAAAACTGTACTCAGAGTTGGAATCCATTTATTACAGGAAGGAATTTTTATTATGAGAAGGCTGAATAAAGAAATTTTAGACCATCTTCAGAAAAGAATAAATGTGGGTAGAACAGGAATTCATTTACCCTTCTGTTGTTTACTGCTTTTAAACAACCAACCTGAGGGCACCATGGAAGTTCTTATTGGAATTCCCTATTGAAGGTGAATCACAAAGTGTTTCTGGAAAAAGGAAACTTGTTTTGAAATCAGAAAGCAACTGAAGGTAAGTGAAATGTAATGCTACTACTGCAGCTTAAGCCAACTGTTTAGTGAAAATAAGTTCAAATTGTATAATAAGGCTATAGTAAGTTAAGGAAAGAATGATTGAAGAGAGAATTAAACAAGAATATGCATGGACATGGACATGGACAACTAATAGAGGGTGTTCACATTAGAAAAGATCAAATTAAAAGAAGCATATGGCTTATAAAGGTATAAAATACTGAAATTTTGAGAGGGAAAAGAAGGTTCAAATTATTTAAAAAACAAAATAATGACTTAATTT